GACCTTAAGGAATTTCTGAAAGGGTCTTAGAGAAACCTCAAGGACCTCCCACAGTGGTCACTTGAGCCAGCTTGCACCAGCTCAAGGGAGTTGACTGTTAGCATCTCTTCCCAACTCCACATTCAGTGACATTGTGTTGGTAGCTTAAAATTGTCCACAGTGGAATTATTTACACCACAGAAATCAGTAAGCACTAGGAATTGGTGCTTCTCCTCATCCTTGCCACCAGACAGTTGTTAAACATTTACCAGAATACTGCTGTTCCTAAAATATATTTCAAGAACTACTGGTAAAGAGATGGAAGTATGCTAATGAAAAGGCATACAGAGATAAAAAATGATGAAAGAAACATGTTTGAAGGACAGGAATAAAATCGGATCTAAAAATATAAAGATATTCTTTTTTTTTTTTTTGAGATGGAGTTTCGCTCTTGTTACCCAGGCTGGAGTGCAATGGCGCGATCTCGGCTCACCGCAACCTCCGCCTCCTGGGTTCAGGCAATTCTCCTGCCTCAGCTTCCTGAGTAGCTGGGATTACAGGCACGCGCCGCCGTGCCCAGCTAATTTTTTGTAATTTTTAGTAGAGACGGGGTTTCACCATGTTGACCAGGATGGTCTCGATCTGTTGACCTCGTGATCCACCCGCCTAGGCCTCCCAAAGTGCTGGGATTACAGGCTTGAGCCACCGTGCCCGGCCAAAAAGATATTCTTATGATAAACTCTGAACAAATGGATAGAAGCATTACGAAGAAAAATGCCTTCCCTAGCTGAGAAAAAAATATGATTTAGTGTTCAAAAACTTTAATGTGTTCCAGGAAAATTTAACTGAAGGAACACAATTAAGCTTGGAAATGTCTTTAATTTCTCAGAGAAAAGGAAAGTCTTGCAAGCATCTTAGCAGGAAAAAATAGGTTACCAACAAAGGAACAACAAATCATGCTAGCTTCAGACTTTCCATAACCTGAAACATCAAAGTTTATGGACCAATATTTAAAACATTGGGGTTTTAAAGGTAAAATACAGAACATGATTCAAGAACTATACATAAAGATAAGTTTTTGTTTAATCCTGCAAAATAATAGTCATTTTCACAGATTGATGGCTAAAACTCTCTCATGCATCTTTACTGAAAAAAGATTTTAAAATTATATTTCTAGTTATCATCAGATGAATCAAAGTCAACGCTAAAGAATAAGTAAGTTATAAGAAAAAAGACCATCAATGAATGGCCTAGAGTTAAGACTACATACTCATTATAAATATAATTAAAATATTGAGTGTGAATACCAAAATTCAATATTAAAAAGAAAGTTAAATGATTAGCAAAAGCTATAATTAATATGTATTCATACAGGGGAGTAGGAGTGAAGGGGCATCAAGTTCAAGGGAGAAGTAGAGGGACAACTGAAATGTATTAGATCATTGTGTAACATAGGAGGACTCAAAAGTTGTTTCATCTTGACTTTGGTAATTAGAGAAATGCCTGTCAAAGTATGTTTTTAAAAACATGCCCATAGCTAGTAATTAGAATATACAACAGAATATTTATGTATCTTTTGAATACCTATGTTTATTATACAAGTAAACATAGTTCATATAGCAGAAGTCAGAAACTCTTAAGTGCAGTAACATAAAAATCAAAATGTAAAACAAGATGATAAAAATAACACCATACGCTTAAAAAATTTTTTTAAGATAGGGTCTCACTCTGTCAAAACACAATCATGACTCACTGCAGCCTTGAACTCCCATGTTCAAGTGATCCTCCTGCCTCAGCCTCCTAAGTAGCTGGGACTACAGGTGCATGCTACTACACCCAGCTTATTTTTGTATTTTTTTGTAGAGATGGGGTTTTAATTTACCATGTTGTCCAGGCTGGTCTCAAACTCCTAGCCTCAAGCAGTTTGCCTCCCAAACTACAGGGGTTACAGCAAGCCATCACACATGGCCCGTATACTCAATGTTGACAATAAATAGTGATCTTTTAAACTGCTCTCTTAAAAATGCAAAGAGAATGAATTTAAAAATAGAAGCTAGCTACGTGCTACACATAGAAGATAAACCTAAAATCCCACGTCACAAAGGTTAAAAATACAGAGAAATATAGTTATTCCCCGAAAAGCACAAGCAAAAGAAAACAATGGTAACTATGTTGATAACAGTTAAAAATGAATTCAGGCCAGGCATGGTGGCTCATGCCTGTAATCCCAGCACTTTAGGAGGCCAAGATGAGTGGATTACTTGAGGTCAGGAGTTGGAGACCAGCCTGGCCAACATGATGAAACCTCGTCTCTACTAAAAACACAAATATTAGCTGGCCACGGTAGTGCAACACTGTAAACCTAGTTACTTGAGAGGCTGGGGCAGGAGAATCACTTGAGCCCAGGAGGTGGAGGTTGCATTGAGCTGAGATCGCACCACTGCATTCCAGCCTGGGTGACAAAGCAAGACTGTGTCTCAAAAAATAAATAAATAAATGTTACTGGTTCAAAGAAGAAAGCAAATATAAAATAGTTGGTTTAGAAAGTTGAAACAATACTTATCAAATTATATACTTTTCCCAAATTATTCTTTAGAAGTCATTTCATGGCCCTATTTTTTATTTTTACTTTTAAAAGGAGAGAAATCAAATCATGTAAATAAAAATATATAAATTAACTCAGTTTAATTATTGGTATATTGATAAGTAACAACTGGCTTTCCAAAAAAAAGTATGCATATAAATGTATTGTGTATTTACTATAAAATTTTATATTTTGTATTTACTATTTTATGGATATAAAGGATGTGTAGCATACAACTTACAAATTATAAACATACAATATTCTTTACTGTAAATTCCACATAGCCAATCAATTCTCACACCAAGTTTTCATTAACTTTTGCCACAAAGAAACTCATAAATATAGCTACCCAATCAACAGTTGAACATGAAGAATGATTACAGTTCCAATATGAACTATTTTATTAACATTAATAAAACACAAGTGATATATATCAAAGATATATGTCCAAATGCTGCTTGTCTGTCAGTGATGTGAGTGCCTTCTGTGCTGAATCAAAGAATAGTTTTCAAGTATTGAGAGAACATTAATGTTTTGTGCTATTTCACAATGCTGTGGCTACAGACATGACCTACTTTTAAATTTAATTTGCTTCATTAATTGTGTTCTCTGTCACTTTAAGTCTAAACAATAAATCAAGCCCTGATTTGTAATGTTTGATGTTTTCCATGGTATAGAATACTTCCATATTGGCCAAATCCAAGCTGCTAATGAGAGATCACCAAACACAGATTTGGGAAAAAATGGGCAGTAGCACTCTATTCTGTAGCATTTTCACCAAAGACATACAATAGACATAAACAACCACAAGAACACAGATAAAGTAACATGTAGAAAAATATTAGAAAGCAATGAGTTTTAAGTATTTCTTGCCTGTATAAGAATTTTAGATATGTAAGGAGAAATCACACATCATTTGATAAAAGTTTTATTCCATAAATGCTGCCGAAATAATTGATTAGCTATTCAACAACATTTAAAATGTAAAACTATGTTTAGCTTATATACTGCACAAAAATAAGCCTTGGGCCACATGGGTTGTAGTTTACTGACCCCTGATTTAGATCATTGCTTCATTCATCTACAAAGATTAATTCTAGATTGACTACATATTTAAGTAAAAATGCAAGCATACGCACAAATAAGCAAATGTATATTAAATGCCTGGCAGGAGGAAGACTATATTTAAGAGCATCAGAAGAAATTTCAAAGGGAAAGCTTTATAGATTTGACTTTTTAAAAGTGGCAGCTTAGTTAATGGGATAAACAGAAAATATGGTCCCACTTCTTAGGCTGGCACATTTGCAGAAAATGGTTAGAGTCAGAAGATAAAGAAAATTACCACCTAGAATTTTCTATGTAAGCTTTCCTAAATGTCTCATCACTGTTATTTTTCAAAGGTGCTCAAAAAGCTGTATTCTCAAAAATAGTTCATTCTTTCACAATAGTTTTAGAAATTTTTTTTCAAAGTTGAATTTGAATCTCTCCTAGTGTGATCATATCCCCTTCCTGACTGGTCTTTCTGTAGTGAAAATAAAGAATTGGGCCAGGCACAGTGGCTCATGCCAGCACTTCAGGATGCCCAAGTGGGCAGATCACTTGAGCCCAGGAGTTTGAGACCAGTCTGGGCAACATAGTGAAACCCCATCTCTACAGAAAAACACAAAATCTAGCTGGGCAGGATAGCACACTCCTGTAGTCCCAGCTACTCAGGAGGCTGAGGTGAGAGGACTGTTTGAACCCAGGAGATTGAGGCTGCAGTGAGCCATGATTGTGCCATTGCACTGCAACCTGGGTGGCACAGTAAGACCCTGTGTCAAAACAAACAAACTAAAAATAATAACTGACATAAATTTGTGATACATTTGAATATTCTGTCAACTCTTTTGTTATTCTGTCCCTTTTCCGAAAAAGAGAAGCAATATTCAGTGTTGTCAATACTCCATAAACAGTCAAAAAATAACCAGTGTGAGGCTTTTTAGAGGTGGTAAGGGTCTTAACAGGTAGCCAGAGCATGGATACAGGGATCTGGGACAAAAGTGTTCCAAGTTTGGTAATGAGGATGTTGGCATTCGATTATGAAGAGGTCCCAGACACCAAACTGGAATGTAAGGGTCAGAGAGCTAGACTGCCCAGGATGGCAGACCAGAAGGAAACAGGCAAAGTCTAACTCAAGCTGCTGGGCACATTGCTGTAAGAGTGACAAAAATGTTAGCCAAGGCAGAAGACCAGTTATTCAAACTGAACTGGCCAACTAGGGAGAGCGCAGGCACCAGCTTAGGAACTTGAAAGCATCCACCAGTCCCTTATCAGAATAGCAGTGTCACAGTGGCAGGGTGTTGATAAAGTCAACACTGCCTTTGCAGAATGCTAGAGCAAGCCAGAGACGTTGGGAGCATAATTATTTTCAGTGTCGTACAAGTAACACAAGCATTACCTCGGCAGGAGTCGCATCGTCCTGTTGGTGATAGTTGTGTTAGACAGATTGAGATACAGGACCCCTGGACAGCCCTCAGAAATGTGTCTCATTGATTCATCCTGCATGAAAAACAGAGGGAAGACGTTTATCAAATTCTAACAGACTTTGCAATTTCCCCATAATCTTTCTATTATCCTTCTTCCTGTTTCAGAAAAATATATATGCAAGAGTTGGTTTCTTCATATTCTTTATCTGATACTAGGTTGAAATGAAATTAAAAAGAAGCCAATCCTTTTGCTCAAAGCATCATTACTCAGGCCCGGTGCAGTGGCTCATGCCTGTAATCCCAGCATTTTGGGAGGCCAAAGCGTGCAGATCACACGGTCAGGAGTTTGAGACCAGCCTGGCCAACATGGTAAAACCCCATCTCTACTAAAATTACAAAAATTAGCAGGGCGTGGTGGTGCGTGCCTATAATCCCAGCTACTCAGGAGGCTAAGGCAGGAGAATAGCTTGAACCCGGGTGGTGGAGGTTGCAGTGAGCCAAGATCATGCAACCGCACTCTAGCCTGGGGGAACAGAGCGAGACTCCATCTCCAGAAAGAAAAAAAAATCATAATTACTCCCTCCTTTTCCCTTTCCTTGGAAATAAAATCTCATTCTATCACAATGACACTTCATTAAAATGTGAACCCATGCAAGTTGAACTGTGTCACAAGAAATTTGAGCTCAAATGTCAAAGTGTCAAACACTGCTCATTCTTTATATGCAGGAAAGCAATTAAAAACTGATCCATTTTAAACTTATAAAAATTATTCTGAAAGACAAGAATAGTAAACACTCAACAATAGGACTTCAGCAACAGTCCATATTTATACACTTATACCTTTATACATAGATGTGTGTGTATAATTCAGCTTCTGTAGTTCTGCTAACAAAATATTTTAAATAGCTGAACAGATTTTAACTAAATTTATGGTAAGTTTGAGATGGCTAAAATAAAATATTGGCTACATGCCAGTTGGAGTTGGGGTTAGGGTGAGGGAGAATCTCAAAGATTCAAGCATCCTTCCCCCTGAAGATGGAAAACTGAAGTAAGACAGTAGTGTGACCGTGAAATAAGAGAGACAGAAAAACAAGTTTCAAGCACAGATTCTAAATTGAAATTTACAAGACCAGATGAATTGCAAGCTTTGATTGCAACAAGCTGCTTTTTGTATAGGTAACACTTTAGAAAATACAATGAGTACCAGCAGATTTTTATTTAAGGATTGATGAATCTCCCCAGAAACATCAACAGGGGAGCCAGTTTAACTATTAGTGATGCAGCCAGTATTCGACATTACATCAGTCCTGAAAAGAATAGACCATTGCAGGTATCTATCTATCTGGAAGAGGTAAATCATGAGAAAGCTAGATAACGTAGTTCTGAGAATTCTGCATCACAAATATGGCCACTCCTCACACCACTAAGAATAGTAAAGGCTTAAACTCAGCAGGATCATTGATGTTTAACATTCTATTCATTACTATTTCCAGTAGTCATGGATTTTTAAAATAATAAAATCCTGCAGGTCAGAGCATCTGTCATACTCAGATAGAAATTGGTTGATTTATAGGGGCAGCAAATCATACCTTAAAAAGAACACAAGATTCTATTTTAAGCTGCAAACCTCTGTGATTCTGCTATAGGGAAGGTTCCATGCACCCATACTGCATGAGAGGCCAGTGCAGAGCTTTTGAGAAACACTACTCTTAACTGTATTCAAGCTGTCAGCAATTTTTCTAGATGCCCCATTACCAAAATGTAGGATTTGAATAGGTGTGGATAGATAAAATGTGTACAGTACAATTTTTCCAAAAAGAATGGGAAGAATAATCATGAGTGGCACTGCACTCTAATACAAAGATTTGTCTTTGAAAACGTTCTGCACGCCAATCAAGTGTCAAAGTGATCATACACTTGTTGAAAAACCTTGGCAAAATGCAAATAAGATTGGCAAGGAGAGGAGAGAGAGTTGGCTTAAACACCCTCAGAGAGACAACCACAAAGAAGATGAAAATGTGGCGACCAGGAAGAGGAAGGTGGAGTAAGAAATCTGACTTTGTGCTTGAGATGATGAGGCAATTCATTCTCTGCATTTTCCTGTCTAGAGAAGCTTGAACATCCAAACAAATTTAGAATACTCCCATTCTCTGTACTTAAAAGAATTCAAGACTTAATCCCCAAATGTTTGAATATATAAATGCAAAAACTGAGTGCTTACATTGCAGAATGGCTTATGAATTTGTCCACAACATACTCAAATCCTTCTGAATGTAATACAGTTCATAAGACAAGCTTAGAAATCAAAGCTCTTTGAATGAATGTTACCCAACTCTTTAAATGTAAGCCTGTGTCCCAGTCTACGTCTCAAGGGGAAAAACAATAGTAAAATGTAGATGGATAAAATTATCAGCCCTGTATATTATTAGACTCCAAAACTGGACAAGACTTTGGTGTTCACAAATTCAATGCAGATGGTATTGTTTTGACTTCCCTATTAGAGGGCCAAACTCAAATAATATGACCTTTTACTCAAGTACAGAACTAAAGCTCCCTGAGGGCAAGAACTGAAAAATGGTTGATTTTTTAATTTCCTCCGACACCTAGCAGAACAATATTTAACATAGTAGGTGCTAAAACATCCACGGAAAGAATAAATCCATTTGACAAACAACCTCATTATAAACACAGGCAGACATCTGGAGAATGTGGTAGTCAACGTTTAAAATCCCACTTCATGAAGGAACCCATGATCACTTTGCTAGTGGAGAAAGAGTGCAACCAAAGAAAGTAGAACATTTTTTTCTCTGATATCATCTTTGACATGTCTGTCTATGCCTCCCTTTCTTGTGGATGACCCTTAAGGGCACATTTGAACATAAAGAAACAGCTTATTTATGTCAAAGTACAAGCCACTGAGAAGATGCTTAGTTTACTGTCTAGGGTGTTTCTTCATGTTCTGTTGGACAGGGATTAAACAATTAATTTAAACGCTGAATTTGTGTGTTGAGGTAAGGAGTAGAGGTGTTCTGAGGGTCTTAATATTTTTCTGTACACATTCTATTTAAGTATAATGCCTTCCATCTTTTGAAAAGACATTTTACTGTGGAAATAGGGGGATGGATTTCATGGGGAAAAATTACTAAAGGAGAATTTTCAAAGTGCTCAGTTCTAAAATGAGAGATATATAGGTAAACATTAAGTGTAATAGACAGTTTGAAGTATCTTGTTGAAGTACTGAGACCAATTAATTTCTCCCTCTCCTGAGTTCAGGAGACAGAAGGAAATAGGAGGAAGGCCTGGCTGTGGAATGCCAATCATGAGGCACCAACTCCACCATGAAGGGGAAGCTGTCCTTGCCAGTGAAAAGACTGTATGAATTGGCTCCTCCCTGCTACTTCTCAGCCTCACTTTTACAGCCTCATCTTTCTAGTTTTTTCTTTCCCATTTCCACAGACTTGCTCTGTGAGTTGCTTCAGCTCCATCATCCTCTATAAACCTGTTTCCATTTTCCTGCCCCTGTTTTCCTTCTACCACTCTCTAAGCCATTTTTCCTGGAAAGATCAGTTCATGCCTCATGCCTCACCTTCTCACCTCTTGTCCACATCACAATTCACTACAAATAGATTTCTGCTCCAATATCCCACTGAAACTGTTGTAGCAAAACATGGGAGTCTCTTCTGATTCTCAAACCTACAATGCATTTTTTAGTCCTTTTCTTACCTGTTCACTTTGGTTCGTTCTGAAACTCTTTACTCACTATCATTTTATGATACCTCTTCATTGTCAACCTACTTCTCTTACTAATCCTTCTGAATATCCTCTGTCTGCTCCTAAAAGTCAGCATTCCCTAAGGCTCACCTTTAAGTCTTCTCCTCTCATATCCTCTCTCTTAAGTTTATCTTATTCACTCTTGTGAGGTTAATTATGACTTATACATAGATAGATGTCTACCCAAGATGGAATCTCAATTCTAGCCAATGTTGTCCAATGCCTACTTGGTATCTCCAGATAGTTGCATTCACTAAATATTATTGAACATAATATGCCAAAGTTTGTGCTGGGTGCTATGACTACCACAAAGAATAAGATACATCTCCTGCCCTTTGGGTCTCTTAGGCTATTGGAGGAAGCAGAAACCCTATGATTAAGGATATTTATCATAGGAACCTAGAGAAGCAGTGGTGAACCCAGCCCTGGGAGCCAGTGATATCCTGGTAGAAGAGGTGATAATAAGCCTTAAAACCTGACAAAGAGGAAAGCACCACTTATGGACAAAGGTAAAGGGCATTCTAAGCAAAGAGCAAATGCACAACTACAAAGAGCAACTTGGAGCATGCAGCAAAGGACACTCAGCAGCTGCAGTCACTCAAAATTAGTATGTACATGGAAACTGAAGCAAGTGAGGCTGGAAAGGGAGGCAGAGGCAAAACCACAGAGGGCTTTCAAGGTAGAGTAATATTAAAGAGCTTTGTCTTTATCCAATTGTGTAGATGACGGGAGTGTGTGTGGTTAATGGGAGATGAAAGTGAAGTAGTCATATATGCCTTTTACAAAGAGTATAAAGTGCTCACAGAATGGAAGACAGGTTGGGGACAGAGGGAAAGACTGGAGACAGGAACTAGGAAGAAAGCAACTAGAGGTACATGTTCATTTCCATCTTCTTGGGTATAGCTATTGATAGCCATGAAGGTAAAATGAGCCTATCATGTCTAATGGGGCCCAATTTTTTCTGTCTCATACATACATACCATTAAATATAAATACAGTTCATTGTGGATAGACATTGAAAAATTTCTACTTGTCACAGACTCCAACACTGAGCATACATCTACATGATTAATATTAGCATTGTACAGATGGAGTAAAATTTCTTGTCAATGTTTAACATGGTTTGCTCTTTTCCACACCGAATCCCAAATAATCACACGACCATCTACTCTGCGTATTGGCACTCCAATATGGCAAGTCAATCTATATAAACAGCAGTAAAAATGGTTGCTTATACTCACTGTGAATGTTGGGCAGTCAGAGACATTCAACTCTTGCAAGTTCCTACAGTGGCCTAAATCAAATAAGTTACACATTACTAAACTACATATTACAAATGTTTAAACAAAGTTTTTCTACCCTACATTGAATGCAATGTATTCATTAGAAAACAAACAAAAACCTTGGCAAGTAATATGTTCTGAGTATATGGTTTCTTTTCCCAGAAAAATGACCTTTTTGGGCTTCAGAATGAAAATATATACACATGTTTATTATTGTTTGAGGATTATAGGAGCAAGGTGAAAAAAGAAAAATATTATTTTGGGAAAAACACTATATACTTAGTGCTTTTAGCTTGGAAGCACTTGAAGAAAACCAACCTGATTTTTTGTGCATGCTTTTTTGTTTTCTTTTAACATTTTAATATGAAAATTTTCAAACATACACAAAAGTGGAAAGAACTGTATAATAAATATATAGCCACTGTCTGGATTCTAATTTATATTTTACTGTATTTGCTTTACCACATATCTACCTACTCATTCATCTCTCTATACACCCTTCAATCATTTTTGTATGCATTTCAAAGTAAGTTGCAGACTTACTTACCAGTAAACTTCCCCCCATATATTTCAACATGTATATAATAAATAATTCAGCATGCATAATAATAAAGAGAATAGTTGACATAATTTTTTAGGTTAGACTTATATATGATTTATAATGAATTACAAATAGACAAATGAAGGGCCAGAGAGGCTAAGCACCTGATTAGCTCTGGGACCAGAGGCCACAGCACAGCTATGAACTCTCAGGGAAAATGAGACATGTATCCAAATAGCTAGATGGAAAAGTGTTTCACATTTAGTGCCCTGAATCTCAGTGGACAGTAAATAAAACTCCAAATCTGAAACAGGAAAGAAGTAGCTAGGGAGGCCACACAAACCAGTGACTGGGAGAAATGCTTGAAGCAAAGAAAAGGGAAGGCATTCTAGGTGGAGATCCCATGAAGCAGGAAAACTCCAGGCAAAGGGGTGATTCTGCATTCAAATTGCCACAACTAATAGAAAACACATTTGCTGCTCATAACCACATAGCCCCACACTAATAACAACAGACATGTTAGTATTTATAAATCCATTTCAAACATTTCTTCCTTTGCCAAGAGTGGACTGCATCCTAAATGATATATGCAAACCAGAAATACTTTCAGAATTAAAAAAAATGAAAACAATTGGTAAAAATGTGTGCAACCTGGAAGTCCTCAATAATATTTATTAAGGAGAAAATAGATTTCCCAAACAATACAAGTTATGAAATAAATGTCCTTACAGTATACAATATTCTGTTTGTTTTGTTTTTTTGAGACAGGATCTCACTCTGTCACCCAGGCCAGAGTGCAGTTGGCACCATGTCGGCTCACTGCAGCCTCAACCTCCCAGGCTCAGGTGATCCTTCCACTTCAGCAACCCCCACTCCCATTCCCAAGTAACTGACACTACAGGTGCATACCACCACACTCGGATAATGTCTGTATTTTTTGTAGAGACAGGGTTTCCCCATGCTGCTCAGACTGGTCTCCTGGGCTCAAGCAATCTGCCCGCCACTGCCTCCCAAAGTGCTGGGATTACAGGCATGAGCCATTGCACCCAGCCAGAATAGTAATTTGAGAGTAATTCATCAGTTCAACAAATATTTATCAAGGAAATATAGTAGCTAACAAAACAGACAAAAATACTTTCCCTTAAGGAGTTTAGTTTCTAGTCGGGAGAGACTAACAGTAAACAAAAGAAGTTAAATACCATATCTACTTTGACAGATGGTGATTAAGCGCTACGGAGAAGAAATGAAACAAGAAAAGGAATTGGGAGCACCCAACAGCTGGGAGGGAATGTGATTTAAAGTCGGGCTGAACAGGAAGTTTTCACTGAAAATGTAACATTTGAGCCAAGACGTGCAAGGATGCCAAGGACAGTGCCATTGACTTCAAGCATCTCTGGAGCCCACATCCAACATGGTTGGTGATTGGGAGACAGTAGAGGACAGAAAAAAAATAAGCTCAGAAAGACAACCATTCAATTTCTACCCTTGTGTGTACATCTCAAGGCTGTGTGGAGAATTCTTTTAATTTCTTAAATCCGATGTGATGATGAACTACTGGTTTCAGTTTTTATCATGCTGAGTCCTAACATTTGTGACTACTTCCCTGGGGCTGGCCACTGTGAAGCATCTTATGCACATGAGCCTATTTTATCCTCCCAACAATAGTAGGAGGTATCCTCAGCCCTGTTTTACAGATGCTGAAGATGAGGTTAAATAACATAACTCGCCTAGGTTGATACAGTTAAGCAGGTAAGAGAGCCTTGATTCAAACTCAGGACACATTCAGCCTCTAACCCAGGCAACTAAGAGGGGCAGAAGCTTTCTACATCACTGTTCTGTGGAACTAGACGGACTTTGCCTTAAAAAGTCTGTTTGTATCTGTCAATAACACAGTGCTTGCAATGCGCCTTAACTTTTAATACACATTTTTTTCTCTTCCAACCTAGGGACTCCACGTACCCCAGCTGGGTCTCATTGTTCCAGAACTGCATTAGTTAAGATTACCCAAACTTGGATTTCAAAGGAATATTTTCATTGTTCCATCTGTCACACGAAGTAATTGGGGCCAGCTGGATGTCAGGATGCGCGTGGTTACCATTGTAATCTTGCTCTGCTTTTGCAAAGCTGCTGAGCTGCGCAAAACAAGGCCAGGCACTGTGAGAAGCCGAGTGAATCATGGCCCAGCGGGTGGAGGCCGGAGAGGCTCCAACCCGGTCAAACGCTATGCACCAGGCCTCCCATGTGACGTGTACACATATCTCCATGAAAAATACTTAGATTGTCAAGAAAGAAAATTAGTTTATGTGCTGCCTGATTGGCCTCAGGATTTGCTGCACATGCTGCTAGCAAGAAACAAGATCCGCATATTGAAGAACAACATGTTTTCCAAGTTTAAAAAGCTGAAAAGCCTGGATCTGCAGCAGAATGAGATCTCTAAAATTGAGAGTGAGGCGTTCTTTGGTTTAAACAAACTCACCACCCTCTTACTTCAGCACAACCAGATCAAAGTCTTGACAGAGGAAGTGTTCATTTACACACCTCTCCTGAGCTACCTGCGTCTTTATGACAACCCCTGGCACTGTACTTGTGAGATAGAAACGCTTATTTCAATGTTGCAGATTCCCAGGAACCGAAATTTGGGAAATTATGCCAAGTGTGAAACCCCACAAGAACAAAAAACTAAAAAACTGCGACAGATAAAATCTGAACAGTTGTGTAATGAAGAAGAAAAGGAACAATTGGACCCAAAACCCCAAGTGTCAGGGAGACCCCCAGTCATCAAGCCTGAGGTGGACTCAACTTTTTGTCACAATTATGTATTTCCCATACAAACACTAGACTGCAAAAGGAAAGGTTTGTACTTTTTTTGCTTTTTCATTTTCATGAATAACTTAAAATGGTCTTTCAATCTTATAATCCTCCCTATACCCGACCATGCCTTGGAATTCTTGATGTCACTTCCACCAGAAATCTTTCCCTAGTGACGATGGAATTTACCCAAAGCTTTTCTGGGGTCCAGACTCAAGCAGTTGGTAATCCAAGGACAATGACAGGAGGGAAAGAGGTATCCTCAGGAGGGCAGCCCTTAGGGTTCTACTCATTTGCACATTGCAAGCTGTCACTGTAAGGAATTCCTTTCACCTTAAATCCAATTTAATTTAAGTAGGTAAACCAAGGGGTGTGAAAATAAGTGCAAATGCCATCTATATAACCCGACTTACACCGATTATAGTCAAACATGGTGTGCATCTGTGAGATGATAACCTCAAAGAGAAAACATCTGCAGAACAGGACTGTGAGAGCACTCTGAGACAGAGTGAAAGTAATGGCGCTTCCATATTTCTTATCATTTAGTCCCAGGGTTTTAATTAATGCTCCTTTTTTTTTTTTTTGAGATGGACTCTCACTGTGTTGCCCAAGTTGGAGTGCAGTGGCATGATCTTGGCTCACTATAACCCTTACCTCCTGGGTTCAAGCGATTCTCCTGACTCAGCCTACCAAGTAGTAAATGCTTCTTAACATCCTATATCTTAATTATTTCCAAATTACCCAGAATAAAACAATAAAAATGTCAAGAACTATATTTAAAATATTTAATCTGAGAATGATGAGACTAAAGAAATCTTTCTAGAATATTACCTACTCCCTGCAAATCATTACTGGGTTTTGCAACCCATGCAATTCTTGTGCTAGTATTACACAGGATGTGCAAATGCAAGATAAAGTCATGAGCTAAGAAAACAGATGGAAGATTTTAATAATGCTCTTGATGTGCCAGTGAAGATCGATGTTCTCAAAGTGTAGTCAGGGAACTGCTAATCTATCCTACAATAAAAAACCACGTAACAATGTCTGTATGTTTCATACATGGTTTAATGTATTTATTTGTAATATTAAATTAAAGCCAGATGTCATTAAATGAGGTTCATATAAAGCATGGTATCATTTCTTCCACTTAAATTGGGAAATTTTGCTATGTTTTATTTCTTTGAGGGCAAGAGAAATGGATAGTTTAGAGAGGAAGCCCTGGTTCCTCTCAAGAGAATATTAGGCAGGAATTATTAACATTGTCAGGCAACCTGAACCAGAAGTAAATTTGCCCATTTACCAGCAAAGTCATGCTCAAGTCCTGTCCCACCATCCCGCACCCCCACCCCCAACTGTAAAGATGGCACCTGGTTAGATCCCACAGCAGCCATGTGGCACAGGGAGGTTTGCTTACCAAGACACCTTGTGAACTGTATATAATTCACTGCCATAGGAGAGCAGTTACATACAGCTTCATAACCTGGGATGTGCCATTCTTGGCTCCAGGTACCCACACATGCTGTCCACAACTTCCAGGAAGCTAGTAATATTCCCATTTACAGATTAGGAAAAGGAAGCTCAAAGAGTTTCAGTCACTTGACTATGGGTCTCACAGGTAAGTACCAAAGCTAAAATTGAATCTGGGGGTCTACCTGAGCCACAGCCTATGAGCTCTCTATTTCACACTGCTATCTTCCAAAATTAATCTTAGCATATTCAAACAATCAGCTGCCTCAACAATGCACACATTAGAGAATTTCAAAGAGTCAGTAAATGTAGTTTTTCTGTAGCCAGATTGGGTAGAATTTCCCAGATACTGTTATCATGAGTCCTTGGTGCTTCATGCTGAAGAGCTTGTTTATTAGAATTTCCTTTGTGGTGCTTAGATTGAAAACTGGAATTGTATATTTTTAATACTAATACAAAGCTACTATCCTAGATTTTAATTAGAATACTTGATATTGCTGAGGTTCTAACCTCAAGCTACAGTGAATTTGCACTTACTACATCAGGTATAAATGAGAAAAGTAGATAGAATTGAGTTTATTAATTATCTGAGAAAAACACCATCTATACAAGATTTAAAACTTCTACAACGAGACTACACTGTGCTCTAAGAAGAGATGACATGTTAGGAAATGTCTCTTTTTCACTGCTTTTATGTTCTTGGGCTATTCCTTCCCCCAATAAGCCTATTTCTGCTTTTGTGTTTTTTCCTTTTTTTCCCATAATATTTTTTTCTTTTTCTCTTAAAACACTTCAGCTTATAAAAATAAAAGTACATTTTATTGCTTTCTTTCTTCAACTTACTGTTGTCTAACACGACCTTCCAGAAATGCTCCATAAATTCATACCCTTGCTTTAAAAATACATGTCATTTACTGAAACACAATATAAATAAGGTTTCATGACATATACACTTAGCATATATAATACTGGGTCATCAAAGGACAACATAAGTTCCTCCAAGCGTTAATGACTATGTAATTCAGAGCCTATTATTTTAGATTATAAGCAAAGGGTAGGCCAGGCGTGGTGGCTCATGCCTGTAATCCCAGCACTTTGGGAGGCTGAGGCAGGCAGATCACTTGAGGTCAAAAGTTTGAAACCAGCCCAGCCAACATGGTGAAACCGGCCAGGCGCAGTGGCTTATGCCTATAATCCCGGAATTTTGGGAGGCCGAGGCAGGCAGATCACAAAGTCAGCAGTTCGAGACCAACCTGACCAACATGCTGGTCATGGGTGAAACCCTGTCCCTACTAAAAAAATAAAAATAAATTAGCCAGGTATGGTGGCGCATGCCTGTAATCCCAGCTACTCAGGAGGCTGAGGCAGGAGAATCACTTGAACCCAGGAGGTGGAGGTTGCAGTGAGCAGATATTGCACCACTGGAGATTGCACTCCAGCCTAGACAGAGCAAGACTCTGTCTCATAAAACAAAAAATGGTGAAACTCCATTTCTACTAAAAAAATTGGCATGGTGGCATGCGCCTGTAATCCCAGCTACTCGGGAGGCTGAGGCATGAGAATTGCTTCAACCCAGGACGCAGAGATTACAATGAGCCTAGATCGTGACACTACTCCAGCCTGGGCAACAGCAAGACTCTGTTGCAAAAAAAACAAAAAGGTGAAGGGTAGCTTTGTATTTTAATATTATCAATACAAATGGCTTTCACTGTGGTTTAAATCTAGTGATTCATTTCATCCTTTATTTTTCATTTTTTGTTATATTGCTGATTCCCATAAATTCAAAGGGAAAAGACTTGTTTATTAAATTCCCTTTGGTAGTGCCTGTCACAGAGCCATGTGCTTTAGATTGATGATGATAACTGGACTGCTCTTCTTTAAGATTGATGATGATAAATGGACTGCTCTTCTTTAATCTTTCAAAGCAGTAATTTAAGCAAGCTTTGAGGGTAAAAATGCATTGAAGTTAAAAATAATGGTTAGAATTAAAGTGGGACAACCTGAGGCTCTGTACAAGTATACCACATGTACATGATCACACATAGAGAACTTGCATACAGATTCCCCAACTCGGAGTTGAGCTTGGCCCAGCTGACCTGCAATGAGTCAGACAGTGTGTGTAGGGGACCTAACTTGTGCCAGTTCAACCACAAAGACATCAATGATCACTATGTATTTTTGCCTTAAATATCTAATGGCAAGAAAAAGAAATAATAGCTTTATTCACTAAGAAACAGATTTTTTGCCAACAAATCCTAGTTTTTCAAAGGGAAGAAATGTAAGACTAGTTGAAAGGCATATTTATGAAATATTGAGGTCAAAGGATTGGCAAGAATACATGAAAGTCAGAGTTTTTAAACTGCTTTCAGCTTCACATTGACCAGAATAGTTTACCATTTTTAAGGAGTTATTTTACTTCTAACATCAGACAAGGGAAAATTATGCAGGTAAATTACCCTTAGCTGCCTCCAAAGTTAAGGGAACAATTTTACTGCAGCTTGAACAATAGTTAAGAATTCAGTATTTGCAATAAACAGGGACATTTATGTAGCTTTTCTTACTACTACCAAGCTTTCAAGGTAGTTCTGAGGTTGCTGAAAACAAAGATAGCCTGCTAAATGGGGAAATTACCTGGAGACATTTTCTAATTTCCTTCTCAAAATCAACAAGGTTTGATTGGAGGAGGAAAAAGTCTTGTGAGGGGTAATAATATGGTATTTGTTGAGGCATTTACCAAGAATTTGGGGCAGCAGTATATATAAAATATGCATACCAAGTGGTATCTGGATTAGAAAAAGGGGCATTGATCAAATTTGCCTTCTGGTCTGGGGAAATGTGTGTTTATATACTCTTTATCAAAAGCAAACATACTTTGCATCAATATTTGCAATTCTCATTCAAGTTCTAAGGTAAAAGAATTAAAGAATTCTCCTACTCATCAACACAGCAAATGAGATTTTCCTGTGTTATTCTAAGCCACACTAGGAAAGCCTTTGCTTTGCATTTCCTGGTATTACTTGTGGATGCTATTTTTACCCAGGGCTGTTGCTGACAATCCCAAAATGGATTCTGCAGTTTATATTCTTTTTCCAGCACCCGCAGATTTGCCACATTGCCTAGGCCGAGTGTCAGGGTGTTCTCATAAACATTTTTTTCTACCCATTTATTTGTGGTTAACCCACTTTAGCTTGCCCTAGAGTGGTTGCTCTGTCATCCACCCTCATGTCCAGCCCAGCAGATGTGGGTTCATTAAGCAAGTCCTGATAAACAGGCTGCTTTCTAGAACCTAAAAGGTGCTGACTCTGGTGACAAGGATGACCTACAGGTCTTAAAGGCTTTACAGGGCCTTAGTGAGGACTCTGGCTTTCATCACAGTGAGATGGGAAGTCACTGGAGGATTTGCTAGGCTTTGATAAAATGTAGCATATGCTAAGGCTTGTTTCAAACCAACTTTCTTTGGCTTTAGATATCTCTCACCCCCTTCTCTTTAAGAGCTGATTCTTCAATCACACAGACACAATGGTGACCAAGAAAATGGAGGCATAAAGAGCATAATAACCTAAATATTATTAAATTTTCTAGAGTTGAAAAAAGTGCCAAACAACATCCCTCCAGATATTGTTAAACTTGACTTGTCATACAATAAAATCAACCAACTTCGACCCAAGGAATTTGAAGATGTCCATGAGCTGAAGAAATTAAACCTCAGCAGCAATGGCATTCAATTCATCGATCCTGGTAAGTTTCCCTGAATAGCCCCTTCAGTGGGTGGGCAAATGTTCTGTGATTTTTTTTTCTATGGCAACACTATATATACAGTAAATAAATTAAGTGTAAAAATAACTGAACTAAATAATAAAAAATGTCCAAGGTTGAATTAAACATGACACTTATACTAGGAGTTGTTTGGCACTCAAAAAAAGACTTGCCAAAATGCTGCTTTATGAAGTATGTAATATCACATATTACTAACCAATATTTATTCAGTTAGTCCAAATACTGTGTTATAGAATAGATTTTAAAAGTAATATATGGCAAATGATCAACAGTATGCTAAAATGTAGTGATTTTTAAAGGGAAATTCAAAGTTGGAATTTTCTTTGCTATTCATTAAGCCCCATCTTGTTTAGAATAAATTAGAAACACACTGCTAAGCACTTAGCTCATCAATTAGGATAAAATGTGCTCAAACCAGAGCCAGACATACTATATCTAGTCCTAGATAAAGACCAATTCTCTTTTACATCCTTCAAATCTCTTCTCCATTTGCTAAGCAAAGCTGCTGGCGAAAATGAGCTTGGTAAATTAAGTAAACACATTAGATTTGGAAAGAACTGAAAATTACTGCAATACTGACCAGATTTATAACATATATAATACATGTGCCTTCACTATGCTACTTCAATTTGAAAAGTTCCATGGAAATGATTATTAAAATTATTAATAATGTGTTACAAACATTTTGAGTACTACTGTTTCCCCTGCTTTTCTTCATGATAATCTACTACCATTAATAGAATATTAGAATTTTAACACAATAAAAGTGAAAAATTAAAATGAACATTCTGGAGCCACAAAGGGATATTTTAGAATTAACATATTTTTAAAAATTAGAAAATCATAATTTTTAAAACTTCCCAAGGGAAAGCAGTATGCTACATGTAAACCTTACCCTGTTACAGATGATGCAAACTTGGGAGTATGTTTGAATTGTGAAGTCAAAAGCAATTTTCATTCTCAGTAAATAAGAATACTACAGACACCCTTCTCCCAAATGAAGTGAGCATTATATTAGTGTGCAAGTCAGTCACTGCTAGCCAGTCTCCACAAAGCCAGGCCACAGGGTAAAGAATCTGAAAGTGGAGGCCGGGCATGGTGGCTCAAGCCTGTAATCCCAGCACTTTGGGAGGCCGAGGCAGGGGGATCATGAGGTCAGGAGTTCAAGACCAGACTGGCCAAATGGTGAAACCCCGTCTCTACTAAAAAATACAAAAATTCGCTGGGCATGGTGGCTTGTGCCTGTAATCCCAGCTACTTGGGAGGCTGAAGTAGGAGAATTGTTTGAACTGGGACCTGGGAGGTGGAGGTTGCAGTGAGCTGAGCCTCTGCACTCCAGCCTGGGCTACAGAGTAAGACTCCATCTCAAAAAACAAAACAAAACAAAAAAGAATCTGGAAGTGGAGACCCTTTCTTGCAAGAAAAACTCACTTTGACCCTTTATGATTCCATCTCCTGCCTGAACAATCAACACTTCCCACTTCCCAAGGCCCTACCCAGCAAATTATCTTTAAAAACTCTGATCTTGGCCAGGCATGGTGGCTCACGCCTATAATCCCAGCACTTTGAAAGGCCATGGCGGGCAGATCACCTGAGGTCAGGAGTTCAAGACCAGCCTGGCCAACATGGTAAAACCCCATCTCTACTAAAAATACAAAAATTAACCAGTTGTGGTGGCAGGCACCTGTAACCCCAGTTACTTAGGAGGCTGAGGCAGGAGAGTCACTTTAACCCAGGAGATGGAGGTTGCAGCGAGCCCAGATCGCACCATTGCACTCCAGCCTGTGGGAAAAGAGCAAGACTTCATCTAAAGAAAAAACAAAAAACAAAACTCTGATCCCCGAAAGCTTGGAGAGACTGATTTGAGTGATAATAAAACTCCAGTCTCCTGAACAGCCAGCTCGGCATGAATTACACTTTCTTCATTGCAATTCCCTCTTGATAAATCAACTCCATCTAGGGAGTGGGCAAGGTGAACTCATTGGATAGTTACAAACCAAAGATTGACAGGACAAGTAAGCCATTACAAAGGTCCTTGGTCAAGAGTCTAATTTCCTTCTGCTGTCATCCACAAGCAAAACCATAGTTTACCAACCATCAATGCAAACAAGTTTTAGAGCTGTCTCAAAAAAAGATTATACTTATTATATGTCCTAAGTCAAATGTATTAAAGTAATGAGTAACAGTGCGACAATTACAACAAAATTAGTATGTAAAGAAAACTTGAGAAAAATGAGAAGGCAATGCAGAGAGACAGATAACAGCGCAAAATTGACTTGCCTTGCTTCTCCTGATAGTTTTCACGTTTCCCATAACTGATACTTTTCATCAGTTATGGAATTCCCATAATTGCAGGGATTCCTTTTCTGTCCTTAGGATCCCCTGAAGGCCTTTTAATCTTGTTCACCAAATGTGTGTTCCCTGCTGACACAAAATGGTCTCTACTAACAGCAGTGGTACTTCTTTTTCCCCTTTGTTGAATTCACTCTCAGGAAAGAATTTTCTACATTAATAAATATTTACTGAGCACCCAGCAAATGCCAAGCACTTTCTTAGAACAAAAAAGTTCTTTGGGAACAAAAGAGTATCTCAGCACTTAAGGCAAAATAACCTAAAGAAATTTTAAAATGCAAGTTCACCTATATTTCAGGGTCTCTGAGATGAAACCCTGCAAGTAGACTTACTTTAATGATTTTTGCTGGTAAGTATACAAATGCAGTGGGAGTCGCCAGACTTTAAAAGACATGAATAATAATCATATAAAATACCAGACGTTGCTGTGGAAAAGAGAAAGAAGATACTCTACTAGGGAGTTTTTATCTCCTTTAAGAAACAGAGGAAAACTAGTATTCCCAAGTGCCTGAATATATATGGTTTAAGTAACAATATACAGAACTTTCAAAATAAAATCTAGGAATGTTTACATATGCTTTTAATCTCATGGTCTAATGTCTTGAGAAAAGTAAATCTGTGAGATGACTGACTCACAGAATTTTAGCAAACAGAAAAAATCCAGTATCTTCAGAACACAAGGGCTGACCTTTTGTCCCCTACCCCCAAGACATTGCTTGGTACCAAAATAGAAAGTTATTTTTTTAATGGGGAATTATGTGTTTTTACTGAGAGAACATAAGATGAAAATAGTTAATAATATTAGTATGACCACATATTTTCCTAATTCAAAATATGTTCTACAAGGGTATTTTAAAACAATAATCAAATAATGTTTGAAACAGAAACAAAATATTTAAAACCGTCTATTTCTGGAGTATCTGGCTAGTCTGTATCAACTGGAATAGAGATAACCTGGGTGTAGATTTCTTTGCTCTTAGAAGGGGAAAAAAGCTTTTTGTTGTTTTATTTTCAGTTATATTTTATATTGGTTTTAATTATCCAACCTCCAGCAAAATTAAATACATATGGATTCAAAGCCGATAGCTACCATAGTTTGCCAAAATACAACCAGATGTTTTCAAAATGTTGGAAAAAGTTGTTTATTTTTGGACTCTACAGGAATAGAACCCTTCCCCCAACACTGGGATAAGGTTGTTTTCCAGGTATTTTCATGTTTACTGATATCCCAGGGAACTATCAAATCACCTCCAGGCACATTTTTCATTTTTTTTCTGCACTTATGTCTTACATGTGAAATATTTTCTTAACTCATGTTTCTTTTTTGAGTATCTTCTTTTTCCCAGTAAGTACAAAAAAAAAAAAAATGAACCCAAAATACATCTTAAAAAGCTAACTTAAAACTGATTTTTCAAATAAAATACTGTATTCTAGTCAAAGTAATCAAGGGCAAAGCTTTGAGTAACAGTATATTTTACAATTTTGCAATTAGATATGTTTACAGTGGAGAAATATAATTAAAAACACAACCTTCTTTCAACCCAGAAAATATCTCCACAAAGGTAGTAAAGAAAGAAAACACGTTCATTATTGACTAAGCATTAAACCAGAATGTGATGCGCATCACATGCGTATCACTGAGAGACTGCAAAGACTCTCAACCCTATGTAACCAAGCAGATACCACCCATTACAGGAATCTGGCCCTGTGTAGCTAAGCAGATACCACCGATTACATACATGTTTTCAGGACAAGCAATAATGAGTCCTTAAGGAAGAAGATTTGACACCACATTTTGTCACACATAATTCATCCTAACTTTACCTGTTAAATGGGGTGACTATCTGTGTTAGCTTACTGGCCTTATTCAGAGAAAAATAAATTTCTGTCTCCATGACAGGAGGTAGTTTTGCAAAGAGAAGCAAGACCTCACCAAAGTTAGGACCCACCCTGCCACAGGAGCTGGGAGACGGAGGTACCATCTTCCTTGATGTTTATATTTCAAAGAGACAGCTCCCAGGTCCTTGAAAAAGACATTCTTGCATCATAAAGCTGACAAAAAGCCTTTCTAGTCTTCAATAGGATTTAAAGACATTTCAAAGATAGGAGAAGGTACTGACAGTTAAAAGTTTTCTAAGGTAAGAACTCTGGAAAAAAGAAGGGAAGATACATCTCTTTCTTTTCAAAGGGGAAAATTAAGTCTCTTTTTAAAATTTGTATTGGTCCTTAGGATATACCATGCAGTGTATTAACTCAATTACTCAAGCTCAATAAATATTTTCTGTTTCCAGCTGCTTTTTTAGGGCTCACACATTTAGAAGAATTAGATTTATCAAACAACAGTCTGCAAAACTTTGACTATGGCGTGTTAGAAGACTTGTATTTTTTGAAACTCTTGTGGCTCAGAGATAACCCTTGGAGATGTGACTACAACATTCACTACCTCTACTACTGGTTAAAGCACCACTACAATGTCCATTTTAATGGCCTGGAATGCAAAACGCCTGAAGAATACAAAGGGTGGTCTGTGGGAAAATACATTAGAAGCTACTATGAAGAATGCCCCAAAGACAAGTTACCAGCATATCCTGAGTCATTTGACAAGGACACAGAAGATGAAGAATGGGAAAAAATACATAGGGATCACACCGCAAAGAAGCAAAGTGTAAGAATTATTATATTGGGATAAGATAGAAATTTTTCTGATTGTAATTAGTTTTGTATTTTCCATACTGGCGTTAGAAAACATATGTTTACATTTTTTATTAACTGTGTTGCCTATTTATGCAGGGTTATCCAGCTTTCTTTAATGATGATAAGTATTATTGTGACTCTTATAGTAATCAAGAGAATACTGACATCCTGCTTGCCTGTGTATTTTTGGAACAGCATCTGGTGATATGTAATTCCACACCAGTAACCTGCAGCAGTTGGGTCCTAATGATGGCATTAGACTTTCATAATGTCCTGTATAAATGTTTTTACTGCTTTCTGAAAATAAAAAAAAAAACTTGTTTCATTTTTACATGCCTTTTGATAGCTGTGCATACCTAAAGATGATCAAAATGATTTTATACAAAAAGTAGATGGTCATTCCCCACCCCTCTACTTTTTTTCAGTAAATCATCTTAAAATTTAAATAAATTTCCATTTCTGATTTCTGTACATTCCAAAATAAGGTCCTGGTACATCCAAGTGCTCAACCACTCTTCACTAACCTTGCAAAATACTGTCAAGCTAGATCTGAGAGAATTGTCACAAACAATAGGTAGAGAATATGAGAATTCTATTGGAAGCTGGTTGGAAGCTAGGACAGTGGTTAACAGCTGTAGATGCTGTGAAGCATGAGCCCTGAAGAGGTACAGTCACCTGTGAATGTGAAAAGAGCATTTTCGTTTGTTTTTGTTTTTTGTGTTTTTTTTTTTTTTAAGTAGGGTTCATACTGGGAATCCACCTGTCCATGAGAAAGGGCACTTCCTGCTAAGCTAGTATGTCAAGGAACACAAAACAAAGAATAAAATTAGGATCGGGGGCAGTATTCGGGATGAAGCCAGAACAAAAACTAGGAAATAATATGAGGCCACTGAGGGAGGAGGTGGTGCCCAAAAGAAGCCCCGTGATTTGGATTTACAGGTTAAAATGAGCTCACCACTAGATCACCAGCAAAAGAGGAAATCCATGGAGGATTTTAGACCCTGATCCCAACAGTTTGCATTTAAATAGTCATATTCTACGTAGAGAAAAAAAATTAAGTGAAAAGAAATATATGCATTCCCTCAGTAAGATACTATTTTTTCCTTTTAATATACATTTTCCTTTCATGCTGAGTTAATACATTTTCATTTCTTGTATCAAGGTATTCCTACAAAGTTTAGCAAATAACCACCTTATATGATACTTGTGCAAACTCCCAAAGCATGGAAGACGGTATATAAAAAATAGTTTTAGGCACTTTTTTTTTTGAGATGGAGTGTCACTCTGTTGCCCAGGCTGGAGTGCGGTGGTCCAATCTCAACTCACTGCAACCTTCATCTCCCAGGTTCAATCAATTCTCCTGCCTCAACCTCCCAAATAGCTGGTATTACAGGGGCTTGCCACCATGCCTGGCTAATTTTTGTATTTTTAGTAGAGACAAGGTTTCACCATGTTAATCAGGCTGGTCTTGAATTCCTTACTTCATATGCTCCTCCTGCCTCAGCCTCCCAAAGTGCTGGGATTACAGGCATAAACACCACGCTTAGCCATGCACTTTTAAGCACATGCTAGAGGCCAGTCACTGTGCTAAGAGCTTCACATATTCTACTTCTGATTCTCACAAAATCCCTCTGAGGTAGGTAATACTGTCTGCATTTTATAGATAAGGAATCCAAGGTGGAGAGTTTGGGTAACTTGGATAAAGTCACACAGCTGGCAAGTGGCAACGCCAGGATTCAGATCTGCCTAAGCCCTTTTTGCTATGCAGGGCTGCAGAGCATTCTAAAAGTCACCCTTGTCTGTGGCTGCCTGGCACCAGAACTTCCAGAACCAAACCCGAAAGCGGAGCAAGTACCCAGGAAGGTAGGGGAGCACTCATGAGGTCAGTTGGCAGGAGAAAGTTTTTTATCTAAGATCTAAATAGATCTGTATTTATATATAGGAAACCAAGAGAGTGGGAACCAGAAGAACTGCCAGAGCTAATGCTTCAGTAAATAACTCTGGATTGTGAGGTCCTATTTTTATTTATTTATTATTATGATTATTTGAGACAGAATCTCACTCTTGTCATCCAGGCTGGAGTGCAGTGGTTCAATCTTGGCTCACCGTAGCCTTCGCCTCCTAGGTTCAAGAAATTTTCCTGCCTCAGCCCCCCGAGTAGCTGGGATTACAGTTGCCTGTTAGCACGCCCAGCTAATTTTTGTACTTTTAGTAGAGATGGGGTTTTGCCATGTTGGCCAAGCTAGTCTTTGTTGGCCAGGCTGGCCTCGAACTCCTGACCTCAGGTGATGTGCTCAACTCAGCCTCCCAAAGTGCTGAGATTACAGGCATGAGACACCACGCCTGGACTGAACCATGAGGTTCTAACCACTCTGCCCAGTGGTTTGGGTCAGAGGTGGGGACTTAGAGATATTACTTCTCCATGCAAATCCCTACGTTGGTCACTCTGAGGCATGATAGCCAACTATTACATTTCAAATATTACCAGAGAGATGTAATATATTTATTTATTATTGTTCATGAGCCTCAGAGTGAAATTTTAAAGACATAGTACGTGAAAGAGCCAAGATTTAACGATGAAAAAAGCCTGGTGTGACCTCATCAGAGACAGTAGGATTACACTGAAGGCAAGAGAATTCTGGAATGAAATGAGATGAAATCTGATTCACAGAAAGGACCCAAGTTGTTCTCTGGTATAATTTTTAGATGCTAGTTAGGGATTTTATTGGTTGATTTTTACATTCAATTTAATCCCTAGGGATGTATTTAGAAATAAAGCTCCTGAACACATCAAAACAAAAATTAACACAGGAGATCCAAAAGTAAGTCAATAGGCATTCTTAACATCTCTCAGGGTCAAGACTGATGTGAATTTTTATTATTATTTTTATCTTTTTTCAGCTATTTCTTTTTTATTGATTTATTTTTTATTGCATTTTAGGTTTTGGAGAACATGTGAAGAACATGCAAGATAGTTGCATAGGTACACACGTGGCAGTGTGATTTGCTGCCTTCCTTCCCTTCACCTCTATCTGGCATTTCTCCCAGTGCTATCTCTCTCCAACTCCCCACCCCACGCTGTCCCTTCCCTATTTTCCCCAACAAAGCCCAGTGTGTAGTGCTCCCCTCCCTGTGTCCATGTGTTCTCATTGTTCAACACCTGCCTATGAGTCAGAACATGCAGTATTTCATTTTCTGTTCTTGTGTCAGTTTGCTAAGAATGATGTTCTCCAGGTTCATCCATGTCCCTACAAAGGACACGAACTCATCATTTTTGATTGCTGCATAATATTCCATGGTGTATATGTGCCACATTTTCCCTGTCCAGTCTATCATCGATGGGCATTTGGGTTGATTACAGGTCTTTACTATTGTAAACAGTGCTGCAATGAACACTTGTGTGCATGTGTCCTCATAGTAGAACGATTTATAATCCTTTGGATATTCCAATAATGGGATTGCTGGGTCAAATGGAATTTCTATTTCCAGGTCCTCGAGGAATCGCCACACAGTCTTCCACAATGATTGAACTAATTTACACTCCCACCAGCAGTGTAAAGTGTTTCTATTTCTCCACATCCTCTCTAGCATCTGTTGTCTCCAGATTTTTTAATGATTACCTTTCTAACTGGCATGAGATGGTATCTCAGTGTATTTTGATTTGCATTTCTCTAATGACCAGTGATGATGAGCATTTTTTCATATGATTGTTGGCCTCATGTATGTCTTCTTTTGTTAAGTGTCTGTTCATATCCTTTGCCCACTTTTGAATGGGCTTGTTTTTTTCTTGTAAATCTGTTTTAGTTCTTTGTAAATTCTGGATATCAGCCTTTGGTCAGATGGGTAAACTGCAAAATTTTTTTCCAATTCTGTTGGTTGCTGATTATCCCTAATGACTCTTTCTTTTGCTGTGCAGAAGCTGTGGAGTTTCATTAGGTCCCATTTGTCTATTTTGGCTTTTGTTGCCAATGCTTTTGGTGTTTTGGTCATGAAGTCCTTGCCTACTCCTATGTCCTGAATGGTTTTGCCTAGATTTTCTTCTAGGGTTTTTATGATGTTAGGTCTTATGTTTAAGTCTTTAATCCATCTGGAGTTAATTTTAGTGTAAGGTGTCAGGTAGGGGTCCAGGTTCTGCTTTCTGCAAATAGCTAGCCAATTTTCCCAACACCATTTATTAAACAGGGTATCCTTTCCCCACAGATTGTTTTTGCCAGGTTTGTCAAAGATCAGATGGTTGTAGATATGTTGTGTTGCCTCCGAGGCCTCTGTTCTGTCCCATTGGTCTATATCTCTGTTTTTGTACCAGTACCACGCTGTTTTGATTACTGTAGCCTTGTAGTATAGTTTGATGTCTGGTAGTGTGATGCCTCCTGCTGTGTTCTTTTTACTTACAATTGACTTGGCTACGTGGGCTCTCTTTTGGTTCCATATGAAGTTCATGGTGGTTTTTTCCAGTTCTGTGAAGAAGGTCATTGGTAGCTTGATGGGGATAGCGTTGGGTCTGTAAATTACTTTGGGCAGTATGGCCATTTTCACGATATTAATTCTTCCTAACCATGAACATGGAATGTTTCTCCATCTGTTTGTGTCCTCTCTTATTTCATTGAGCAGTGGTTTGTAGTTCTCCTTGAAGAGGTCCTTTACGTTCCTTGTTAGTTGTATTCCTAGGTATTTTATTCTCTTTGTAGCAATTGTGAATGGCAGTTCGTTCTTGATTTGGCTCTCTTTCAGTCTGTTATCGGTGTATAAAAACGCTTGTAATTTTTGCACATTGATTTTGTATCCTGAGACTTTACTGAAGTTGCTTATCATTTTCAGGAGATTTTGGGCTGAGATGATGGGGTCTTCTAGATATACTATCAAGTCATCTGCAAATAGAGACAATTTGGCTTCCTCCTTTCCTATTTGAATACCCTTTATTTCTTTTTCTTGCCTGATTGCTCTGGCTAGAACTTCCGGTACTATACTGAATAGGAGTGGTGAGAGAGGGCATCCTTGTCTAGTGCCAGATTTCAAAGGGAATGCTTCCAGTTTTTGCCCATTCAGTATGATATTGGCTGTTGGTTTGTCATAAATAGCTTTTATTATTTTGAGATACGAGTTTATTGAGGGTTTTTAGCATAAACGGCTGTTGAATTTTGTCAAAGGCCTTCTCTGCATCTATTAAGATAATCAGTGGTTTTTGTTTTTGCTTCTGTTTGTGTGGTGAATTACATTTATAGACTTACATATCTTGAACCAGCCTTGCATCCCCGGGATGAATCCTACTTAATCATGGTAAATAAGCTTTTTGATGTGATGTTGCCATCAGCTTGCCAGTATTTTATTGAA